CTATGATCCCAGTGCAGGGAGGCAGAGACAGGAGGATCCCTGGGGTTCACTGGTGTCCCATTCTAGCTTAAATGGTGAACTCCAGACCAAGGAGAGACCACATCTCAAAAATAAAGTGAATTGAGCCTGAGGAACGGTACCTAAGATTGATCTCTGACCTCAACAGATACACACACAAATGCGTGTGCACATACACACATACGTGTACACACATGTAAATACACCCCACATACACTCTCACGCATGCACACAGGTTTCTGTCATCTCTCACAATGGCAGACTGGAAACAAGTTATAATGTGGCACTCTTTCCAACCACATTCAAACCACAGCACCCTCCTGATAAATCTATGAGCTTCTCATACTCCTGGGAGAAAGTGTTTTATTTTACTGGAAGAATTTATACCTCTAAGTAAAGACATTTGCATTTCTAGTCAAAGATTTTATGTCGTACTTTATCTTTGCCAAACAAAAGCCTAGAGGATCATAAAACACCATCATCAGACAGTTTTCATGAAGCCGGACCACGGATAGAAAACCATCCTCAGAAATGTTGCCCAGTGGAAAAGCCTCGGATGTGGAAAGAGACCTTCCGCAGCTGTTATAGCTTTCCATGGGCTATGCAGGTGATTTTTAGATAGGTTATTTTGCTAAGCTCAGATCAACTCATAGGTAATATAAGGAAAATGTCCTATTTCTCTTGTAGCCGCCTCAAGGATTGGGCACTGATTTTCATAGCCTGGTGCCTGGTACTTGATCCTTATTCACTACGCAAGTCAGGGAGAGGATGGACTGAATGCACAACTCGCTTTTCCTCCCCCTTTCTCCCTCTCTGTTAACTCCACTGCCCTGGTTACTATTCCTCAATCTACGGAGCCATCTCCTACTTCAAAGCCTTCAAAGGAGCTCCTGGCCTGCCTATACAGCATGCATTCTGCAGTTCATAACTTGATTGATTCCCTGTATATGTGTTCAGATGAGGGTGCACATGTGTGTAGTCATGCATCCATTTGTGTGTGCGAGTGTGGAGGCCAGAGGTTAACCTCAGGTGTCCTTCCTCTTCCTCGGCACCTTGAATTTCCAGACATGATGTCTTACTGGCCTGAAACTCTGATTCGGATGGGGATGGGGATGGGGATGGGTGGGCAGGGGAGGGGGGTGCAAAGCCAGGGACCTACTGGTCTCCACTTCCCCTGCTTTGAAATTACAACCTGGTCATCAGACCCACCTTTTTTACATGAATTCTTGGGGACTGAACTCTGGTCCTTGTACTTACAAGACAAGCACTGGTCATCTCTCTAGCCCCCTGGCCGACTCTTTATCATCTTTTATACTTCATATAATCTATTACTTTTCTGGATAATACTTGCTCTCTAAAATTGTCTGAGAGCAGAGAATGTGTTTTGTTTGTTTACCTGGATGCAAAGGGTAAAGACGGGCATTAATGACCTCTGTCCTAGCTTTCTGGTTCACACTCCCTCCTGAGTTGATTTATGTTTGAGGGGAACATGCAAGCTGGAGGTAAATCCTTTTCATTTACGGTGCTGCTGGGTATCTTTGACAAGAAGAGTGACCTAATTTAAAGAAGGGACATTCTTATGTATGTATTCACGCACATCTAGCTCAGAAAGAAATATTCTCTGAACTCCTTGGAACAGATAACTAAGAATTTCATTGTTGTTCACAATTGATGACTCCAAAAAAAGTGAGGGTACAGCATGCTGTTTTGATTACTCATTTATGTAATGGTTTTATTAAGCTGATTCCAAGGCAATACGTTCTCGAGAGGTTTATATGAGGACACGAATAAAGCAGCGTACCAAGCAGAGACCGATATTTGGCCTTTTAACATGAAGATTTCCATTGTCATCCGGAAAGACTCTCCAAATTCTGAAGTCTAACATAGAAATCCGAGAGCTGAAAACTCATCAGTCAAGTCAAAGGCAAAGTCATCAGAGGCAAAGACTTTACCCTTGGTCTCAGGAGTCCTTTCCAGGACTGATCTGCCCTCAGTAATCAAAGTAACAGTGGAGAAGAACATCAAGTCAAGTCCCTCCACTTGTCTGAAGGCACCTAAGGCTTTGTTTCTTCAGAGACTAAGCAAAGATTGCAGAAATCTTTGTGCTGGATATTTTATTCACCGCTGAAACAAAATCTCTGAAAAGGCAACCAAGGAAGGAGTGGTTAGTTTCGGCTCAGGGTTTGATTAGTTCCAGTTCATCACGAAGGGGAAGAAATGTCAGCATGAGTGTGAGACAACTGATCACACTGCATCTGCCCAGATCTCTCTCTCTCTCTCTCTCTCTCTCTCTCTCTCTCTCTCCTCTCTCCTCTCTCCTCTCTCTCTCTCTTCTTTCTCAGTCCAGACCCCAGCTGATAAGTTGTTGTGTTCATACTCAGGGTAAGTCTTCCCCGCTCCAATAATCCTCTGTGGAAAACTCACAGACACACTCAAAAACATGTCTCCTAGGTGATTCTAAATTCAGTCACATTGACAATCAACTGTCAAGCTCTTTATTCCTAAATAAAACCTTATGATACCTAAAAGGAACCTTGATATCCTTGAGTTGCTTCCCAGCTACATAAATTTATTTTGTATGCATCATGAGCAAATTCTAGCAGGATGCCTGAGAATAGACAATACACACACACACACACACACACACACACACACACACACACACACTCAAGATTAAAACAAGTCTTTTTTAAAGAACCATTTACAAATTAGTCCTCATTATTGAAAAAACAATCAGGAGAATCATTGAACAGTTAGGAAATCAAGTGTAACTTTAATGACCAGCAACAAAATAATGGTTGGATGAGATGACCTAAAAAAATAACCCTACATAGAAGATGTGCAATTGGAAAATTGTTTAGAAGAACAGTCACTGCAAAATATAGAGGTCAGCCTAGGTTGCATAGTGAGTTCTGGGCCAGGCTGGGTTACATAGTAAAATCTTCTGTCAAAAACAACAGGAGCAAGTGGGGAGAGGGACTAGGGATGTAGCTCAGTTGGTAGAGTGTTTGCCTAGCATGCACAAGACCCCTGGTTCAATCCCCAGCACCACATAAAATTGGGCAGGGAGAGTGTATTAGTTACTTCTCTATTGATGTGATAAAACACTGCGACCAAGGGAACTTACAGAAAGAAGAGTTTATTTGAGCTTAAGTTTGAAATGGTTGGAGTTAGAGTCCTTAATGGCAGGGAAAGCATAGTGACAGAGGTGACCAGAGCAGAAATAGCAGAAATTCTATCAGTTACAACTTCAAACACACATAGGAAATCTGGCAAGGCTTAAGAACTCTCAAAGCCAGTGTTGTGCTTCCTCCAGTAAGGCCACACCTCCTGAAACTTCTATAAGCAGCGCCACCAGTTGGGAACTAAATGTCCCAATACTTGAAGCCTATGAAGGACATTCTCATTCAAACCATCACAGAGATGCACACCTGTCATCCCATCACTTGGGAGGTAGAGGCAAGAGGATCACAAGTTCAAGGTCATTCTACACTACACACCAAGTTTGAGGCCAGCTTGGGATACTTGACATCCTGTCTTTAAAAATAAAATGTCATGGCTGAAGAGATGGCTCAGGAGTCAAGAACACTTGCCACTCTTGCAGAGGACCCAGGTTCAGTTCCCAGCACCCATAGGACAGCTCACAACCGTCTGCTGTGTGCAACTCCAGTTCCAGGGAATCCAGCGCCCTCTTTCCACCTCTGTGGGCATAGCATGCACAGTGTGCACCTACACACATGCAGGTAAAACACTCATACACGTAAAATAAAAAGAAAAATAATAAGTAAAAAGAAAATGTTCAATGTATGCTTTTGGTCTTAAAACAATGAACAATAAATTCTATGGCAAGCTGAGTTCAAATTACAAACTGAATTCCAAGGGAAGGGACTATGCAAATCAAGTCTGCACAGCTGTGATCAAATCACCACATGAATTACTGCAGAAAACAATGGTAGTAGAAACTCCCCTAACAAAAGATAGAAGGACTTCCAGCCTTCAAGGGGTTAAGCAGATCTACCCTGGGGGGGGGGGGTCTTCATTTCCTTTCATTAGAGACAAATTTTAGGTCTTTTGGTAAATGAATACGTTGTTTATATTTCATATACTTTCAGGCCTCAAGTCTTGGAAAACACATAAAATTTCCAAGAATTAAAGTTTCCATTAACACAACTGCCAAAGGCGGGAGGCTTGACCTGCCGAGAAAGTACATTCGCCTTTTTTGGCTGCTTCTCAAAAGCTATAGAAAGATATTTATTGTATAATCTTTCTTACGCGCAAATACCCCGCCACATCTTTCTGACAATCTAGACCTGAGGAGAGGAAACATGTCAAAAAGCAGCCAATGACTGCGACCGGATGGCCGTTTTGGCGCTGAACTGTGGACAGCGACCCTGTTCAGGGTAAAATTTCTTTACTGGAAGAGCCTGCTCGTGGGATTTGTTGTTTTCTATCTATTCTCTCTCTCTTTTTTTTTCTTTTCTATTTTTGTTTTCCGGTATTTGGTGTGTAATTCCCCGGGGAACCGGCTTTAGATGGTGAGACGACGGCTAGATACAGTGGATTTCCAGAACGTCCACCTTGCTCGGCTCCTGACCTACATGGAAATTCAATGTAAATAAATCAGTGCGCTCAGAGCTAGAGAAAACCCGGCGCTCCTAATCTCTCTGAATCTGGTTTTATTCAGTCTGCAGTAACCCAGTGATCTCTCCACGTTACAATTAAAAAAAAAAAATAAATAAATAAATAAATAAAAGCAAATCTCTTTGCGTCAGTGAACTTGGACTCAGAAAGTTCTCTGCTTTAAGCAGCCAGCCTTTTAAAGACGTGTGTGTGTGTGTCACGCTGGCGGGAGGGTAGTGGCTACTGGGAGGGGAGCTGGCTGGACCAGGCCCGCCCTCCCCCGGGGTGGTCCCTCTGTCCTAGCCAGCTCTCCACCTCCCCCGACCGGCCTTCGCCTCCACCTCCGCTGCGGCAGCCGGTGAGCTTGGAGGTCTGGGCTCTGCCCGCTTCTCGCACTCCAGCAACTCCTCCGGCCTCCCAAAGGCCCCGCAGGGGGAGGGAAGAGCCAAACCCACCCCCTCCCTTCAGCCCTCCTCCTCGCATGCACAGTCCGGCGCACCTTCCAGTGTTTTGCTTTGGCTGGGGAGGACCAGCATCCCCAGGATCGGTCCTTAATCCCGGGATGCTCCCGCCGGGGACCAGTCTGCCCTGCGCCCCGGGGTGCGCGGAGCCGCGGCCACCGTGCCGGACGCCCGGACTCTGTAAGTTGCAACTCTCCTCCAGGGGAGCACAGGGGAGGATGGTTTCAAGCACCGGAGCCAGCCGAGGTGTGCCCGGTTGGGCTCATGCCCTTGAACTCCGTGGCAGCCCACAGCTGTGCGTCTGATCCCTTCGTAGTAAGGGTATTTCCAGAATATAATTTGATAAATGCCTCGGGATTGGGGGGGATAGGTTACTTTCTAAACACATCTCGTTCTTCAAATGTAAAATCATTCATTTTCAAGTTCGAAAGCACATCGCTCGTTACCGCGTCAGATTACAGTTAATCTAGTCCTAATGCTACTGAAAAGAACTTCTCCCGCTTTTGATCTTGCTGCATTATCCGAACCCTTTAGCAAGGAGACAGTGCACCCACCTGGCGTTAGTTATCATCCTTGACAGCGCGCTTGAATCCTTGCACTAATCCAAAGGCACAATTAATCGCGAGAGAATTATTGTCCCGTCTGCTGCTTACAAAGACCGCTCCAAGCTTTTGCTTAGCCAAGGCTATGCCCGAGTGTTCTCGGAGTAGTAAGACAAAACCGAATCGGATCCTTTGGTTCAGATCAGAACTCTTCTCTGGCGTCCCAAAACTCGGGCACCAGCTAGACTCTCGTGTAGACTGTCTTGATCACATAATAGCTTTAGTTTTGCATCTTGTGTAAACAACGTCCCTGAACACAAGGACCCAAGAGACCAGGAAAGGAAATGGACTATACATTTTAATAAGCGTTTCCCTCCTGCAGGAGAACGCCCGTGGAAGGAAAGAACCGCAGGTCCCAGGAACGTGGCTAGTCTGGCTATGGTGACAGGAAGATGTTAGCTAGAAAAAGCATCATCCCAGAGGAATATGTACTGGCTCGCATCGCCGCGGAGAACCTGCGCAAACCGCGCATCCGCGACCGGCTCCCAAGAGCCCGCTTCATCGCCAAGAGCGGGGCCTGCAACCTGGCGCACAAGAACATCCGCGAGCAGGGTCGCTTCCTGCAGGACATCTTCACCACCTTGGTGGATCTCAAGTGGCGCCACACGCTGGTCATCTTCACCATGTCCTTCCTCTGCAGCTGGCTGCTCTTTGCAATCATGTGGTGGCTGGTGGCCTTCGCCCACGGGGACATCTACGCCTACATGGAGAAAAGTGCGGTGGAGAAAGGCGCCCTGGAGTCCACTGTGTGTGTGACTAATGTCAGGTAAGAGAGCAATGAGCAGGGGCGTGAGGCGGGGGTTGCCAGCAATATAGAAAAAAATCCTTAAATGTTGTTTCTCTTAGTGCTCTCTGGGGTTGTCGAAAGTGCAGTAAAGGGTTTGCCTTGGAGCATTTAGAAAAAGTAAATAAATAAGGGCACAGGGATGTGGATATTAAACACCCTTATCAGCGCCGTTTTATGGATGAAGCCTCTGTCTATAGCGGCTATCCCTTTGGCTAACCTGCAGTAAAGGGTTTGCCTTGGAGCATTTAGAAAAAGTAAATAAATAAGGGCGCAGGGATGTGGATATTAAACACCCTTATCAGCGCAGTTTTATGGATGAAGCCTCTGTCTATAGCGGCCATCCCTTTGGCTAACCCTGGATGTAGGCTACTAGGTTTACTATCTAAACCATACTAGGCTTTACCATCTAAAAACCATTTGGCTTCAAAGGATTCCTGGCATCCAAACCTCCTGCCTAAATTTCACTATTTATGGTGAAAATGCAAGCAATATTTTTTCCTGTGATTTCCCTAACTGGTAACATTTTCAGAAATAATAAGGAAAAAGAAAGGTATCATGGGGGAGGGAGAGAATCCTGGATTTTTAATTATGCTAAAATAAAATAATTTAAATAAACACAAGCCCTTCTTAATCAAGGTTATCATAGATGAATGATTGCATTAGATTCAGAAGTTAAAACTCATTCTAAAATTCCGAAGTAGGCAGCACTGCTTTTAAAAATGGAAGTTAGCCAAAGTTTTCATGGAAGGAGTTATATAAAAGCAAAATAATTTTACAGTCTTTTTCCAAAGCTTTAATAGGACAAGAATAAGATACTTTTTTTAGATTACCTAATTTTGACTTCTGTACTTTGGAGTATTTCAAAGGTAAAGTGCTGTTCCCTCTTCTCTTCTATCATATGCCCACATGGCCCAGCAACATTTCACTGGAGTGATTTGTTTCTTAATCTGTTCTGATGGAAGAAAGAGGCGTAATTTACATCGACTGCAAAAAATGTTCATTGACACTACACAGTAGTCATAATGTTGGAAGATTCCAGAATATTTTCTGAATCATATTCCAAACTCACCTAATTTGTAAGGCAGAGAAACCTTGACAAGCTCTAACCTGCCAGGAGTCTGCTGATAGTGAGAGGTTAGAGACCCTGGAATCTTCGGAAAGGAGCCTGGCAGGCAGGAGGCCACACCTTCTGTGTGAACCTGCCTGCATTTGCCAAGTACCTGAGATGCTAGCATGTCAGAAAGGCCTGGGATCCCACACCACGATGTCAGCCCAGATATGGGGGGGAGAGAACTGGAGCACTTAATCCTTGCCTTTTACTGTTCAGCAGAGAGAATTTTCTTTTCTCAAACTTGGCTCAAACTTTTGCCTCAATGACAATGTAAATGGGAAATCTAGGCAATCACGTGGCACTAGGTACACAGGAAACACAATTCTGTGTTTAACAGGCATTTGAGGTTAAAGTATCACTGTAACGTTGCATTTCTCTCTGAGACACTTACTGGTATTGTTCTTGTTATTAGGGAGCCACGTTCATATCCAAACAAGTCTGCTAATAAGGAACAGACATTAATAGAAATAAGATAAATGATAATAACAAACCTTGAAAACAACAGATTTTACTCAGGCCAAATATATTGCCATTTTCTATGAAAAAGAAATCATTTGGCAAATTTAGAATATAAAGAGATCGTTCTTTCTATAGTGTTTGGAAGAATTTTATAGGGTTGGCTGACTGTTCAAAGCTGCTTCTCGTTACATTTTGTTTTTCAGATAAGATATTCTGAAGGGTATTTGTCTTCCTGTTGCATTCCTAGTCGTGTGAACCACGAGAAAGGAGACACAGTGTCAAAAACATAAGAGAATAAAGTTGACATGAACATAACAATGCTAGTGTTTTAAACTGCACTTCTTAACATTATTTGACTTCTTTTAAGGGATCTGGTCATGCTGATTTTAATATTAAGGTTCTACTCTTACTTTAATCTCAATGTAGTACAATCATAACAAATCATACTTTTTTACTTAAAAAAAGTAGAAATGGAAAAATCTTTCTCTTCTCTTCCGTAAAGAGCTTAGAAGGAGACTGATGTAACTGATTGTTTGCATTTCCATTTCTCTCACAAATTCAGCATCCAGCCAAACCATCAAAGGGAGAAAGAACTGTTTAGTGGATCTATATCCACCAGTATTTCCAAGCATTACTTGATAACTCTCATTTTAGGGTGAATCACTTTCTCAGTTGTGTAGATGGCTTTCTAATGAGTCAGAAAATAGAAACTATGTCATTTTCCTTACTACTATTCAGTCAAGTGCGATCTCACTCCCTCCCTCCTCCCCTCAGCTAAATACTTTTATCTTTGAGATTATTTAGCATGGCAGGTGTCCACTGGGTCTACACTGTATAGAGAAATTAATTCAATTCTTCCTTAAAATAATATGAAAATGTAGCCCATGACCACTGAAGCCAACATTTGGGGAAGATCCCTCACTAGGCTGTTCCCTAATAGACTGTTATTACAAATCAATACTGTATTGCACCCCTCTTCTGGGATCCATTTCTACTCTTTGTCATTTTTTAAACCTCGCCTTATGTTTCATGGTGTAGAACTAGTACAGAAAGCAGTTCTTATAGTTTTCCATGAACCTTTTTAGTCACAACAGAGTTAAAAGCACAACTTTGACACTCCAATTCACATCTCTGTGACCCTGAATGCTCTCCTGGTTTCCTTCCAAAGTGCGCTGTGTGTACTGAGGGCTGAAATGTTTAAATGTTCTGCTCTCTCACTGTGCCTGGCACTAATAGATGACATTTTGACAGAGTGGATGTATGGCTTTTCTTCTACGAAGTAGAGAAGTTGAAGATTGAGGTGGGTCTCAGGAATGGGGCAGCAAAGAAGCCCCAGAAGTACTGGGTATACAGCCAGATTGATACGTTGCTGTTAGCCAGCGGTAGTGATTCTCAGCCTGGAAGTAGCTAGAATTACCCAGGCGTCTCTCTGCGGTCTCACCCAGGTCTCATTCCTGGTCCATTCCTTTTAAACGGGGAGGAGTTGTGCAAGTTGAATAAACTTTGCCCGGAAGTCCCGACACCTGTTGGCACCTTCCTTCTGCCACTTTCAGAATGCTAGACCAGAACTGATAAAACTGACAGTAATGACTGTGTTTCTAATCATGGCACAGTCATTCTTAACCTCTGCTCGAACCTCCTCCTTCAACATTCTCTGCATCAAGTAGAAAACACAGTGATAATCAGCAAGAATCAGTTTTTCTTTTTTAAATGGAAACACACTTTATTAAGAATACTAACATTTTGGAATGATGTCTTTTATAATACTTATTAACACCATGCTAATTGTGTAAAGAACACCAGTAACCATTGGCTAATGATTATTTTTTAAATTAGAAATAAAAAATCCATTCATTGCCCAGTCATTTTATATGACCCAAGTCTCTTAAACACAGATACTTAATACCAA